TGTGTGTGTGCATCTCCACACGACCAATCTTACGAATGAATAATCTATCACAACTTCACACCATATCACTCGGTTTGAATAAATCGCAACGTGATATGAAGTGTCTCTTACGATTCGATTTCATTTACTATTAGAAGGCCGCCGCTGGTACTGAAATGATTTATTTGCATATTGTTAGTAAACATATTTTCGGGCGAATTTCATTTTCTTCTTTTGAGCTTGCGTAGGGACATTAGCTGTTTCATTCTCTGATTGCTGTTTTATGGTAATCGTTTGTGGCAGTCGCCTATAGTTCCGTATTACCCATTTATTTCGACGATAGCAATCGCGTTCGAACAAAATTCATCGTTCTGACAAGCAGTTAATCGACATTTAACGGTTCATTTGATGTGAACAGAACACATCAAATTAACAATTTTTCGCTAACGGAACGATTCGATGAAACCGATTACGTAAGCAACGCCGAGTGTTCTTATTACCTCTTAAGAACACAGCTCCATTTCGGAGAAAAACTCTCGCATTTATAAAGGTGATGATGATCGTGATTGTGATCGTAGAAGGTCATGATTATTTGCTTAATGAATGCGATTAGATTGAAATGTTGGCTATTCATTCTCATCCAGTGAAAATTTGATGGCATTCTCAACGATAATGTGATTGAGTTTTGATCAAATTGCAATCAATCATTTATGGGATAAGTGTGGCAAGTTTTTAAAAATCACAATGAGCTGCGAAAATAAATTTCCATAATGTGCAAAAAAACCTCAGCAATAATGTTAGAGCAAATTTCTTAGAATTAGTGCACTTCAAGATAACTGCTTGTTCATTGCATCCAAAAAANCGATGGTTGATTGCAAATAATTTGAATGAGGTGATTTCGTTTGGAATTGCAGAATTCATCAGATTTGCGTCGAAAAGTTCATGGTTTCGCAAGTACGCTATGTATGCCGCTCGACGACCTACAAGGAGATCAAAGAAGTGCTTGACGTTACGCCGAAATTGCGCTCGTTTCCAGTTGTTGACGATGCAGGTAAAGTTTAGAGCATCGCTTTGACTGGCAATATTTTGTGGAGGCTGATTTTGGAGATGAACCACACCTGGTAAAGCTGACAGCGAATGAATATGTGTAAGGTGATTGATCGACCAAATTTAAATATGATAACCGTTATCAAATGAATATGATAATCCGGTTTTGACATCGCACACAGCTTTTTGGCTGTTGGAAGCCCCAATACACTTGAAAACAATATTCCAGGAAGGCAATACACTTGAAATCCAATTTTTTATTGTCTTCATACTAATTTTGCACGAAATGAATGAATGTTCACTCATTTAATGGCACAACACTCATTACAGTAGTTCGTTAAGACCATGTGCCATTCTGTCACCGTTTAGTTTACCAACGGTATGATACATTTTCATCAGGTGAAAGTCTGATGAGATCTTTAATGGTAACGCGATTGAACTGCGCGTTCGTCCATCTGCAATCGAATGATACATTCTGAACAGTTAATGCCCATAATTACTTAGGCTTGGCAAAGTAACACCCCAATCTTGAACTGCTGAATTCTTCCTCAATTTGAGTGCAATCGATAGCAAAGTATAACTGATGAACACTTAACGAACATGGTTTTAGTCGCAGAGTGTGCGATTTTCTGATAGAATAGATGTGATAATATGCAAAAGAACCTCATCTTGTGCACTGATATCAAACCGTGTTCAGTGATAAGAACATTGAGTCCATAATCAATCTATCGCATTGAATCTAGTGCTAATCGTTTATTTAGCGACACGCAAAGTATTACTAACGATCATGGAAATGAAACAATTTGATAAATTATGCAGAGGGTTTGTTTCTGCTGGGTTCTGTTTCGCGATGTGAATTGGTAGCGCTTGTCAGAAAACAGCTAAACGAGAATGCCCGCAAAGATGAAGCTCTTCGTCGTATACGCACAACGGTCGACGCCATCAAATCATACGCTATCAGAGTCTCTCAAGTTAGTAAGTTAGCGAATCTCAACAAACCTTTAAAGATGCTTCTATGCGTGGTGATGGGTATGCACATTATTATGAATTAACGAAGTGCTATTGAAAACACTTCTAACTATTCCGAGGAATGAGATGTAGATGATTTCTGTAACCATGGTTATCTGATTTGATTTGCCATTTTAACTGATTCACCATTTTTTTTCCTAATTCGTAGGTATTTCGTTCAGAACAGTGGCAAAGGCACGATGTGCAACAACAACAACGACTGCGATGAAGCAAGTGCTTCAAAGAGCAATCAGAACAACTCCAATCAGTTCGTGTTTAACCCAACTGAACAAGAAAACGAATCCAGAACGGTTGCCTACAGAGGCGATGGTGTCCACGATGCTCGAGTCAAATTTTTGTCGATAAACAGAAAGCTATCAAACAAGTATTCATGAAATCATCACCATCTTATCATTTCATCTTGATAGATCACCGAAGAAGGAAGGAAATCACTGTTTGCGTTGCTTACTGAACTCAGTAAATGATTACCATTTTGATAGATGATCGTTCAGATACACACCAAAAATCATTTCTTTCAGAATGACTAAGAAACCGCTTAAAAGTGTTGAAGAAGTCGAGA